AATTCCTGGCAATAAAAACCTGAATCAGCACACTAGAGAGTAACAGCAGGGTCTAGTAAAGATTGACAGAACACAATCAACATGAAGCCATATCCTGAAAATGTTGCTGAATATGAAATAAGAAAGATTTATGTGGCCATGAAGGGAAGAAATTAAATCACAAATAAGAAAAAGTTTGGGCAACTTTAGATTTTTTTCATAGCAATGCTCAATGCCAAAAAGATGGTGAAGGAATGCCAACAAAATTCTGAAGGAAACAAAGCATTGCTAAATAATTTATTGAACATGCAAATTCAAGTGTAAAGGCAGCATACATTCTTAATAGGCCAAATACTTAGGCAATACAAGCTATAGGAATTCTATAGGTTTGTTCTAAAATGTTCCTCAAAGGTCTCATGTGCTCAGAAGTGGGGCTTTCAGTAGGTAATAGAATCCTGAGGGAATTTAATGGCACTTTTGGGAAGTGATATAATTTAGGAGGTGAAATCTGATTGGAAGGAGTGGACCATGGATGTGTGACCTTGGGGACTATATTTTATTCTTGACCCCTTCCTCTTTGGCTTTTTCTCACCTTCTCTGATTCCTGGCTGTCACGAAGTGAACAGTTTTTCTCTACCATGGCCTTCTGCACACTGTGTCTACCTTGCCACAGGCCCAAAAGCAATGGAGACAGCTGGCCATGGACTGAATCTTCTGAAACTGTGAGCTAAAAATATCTTTTCTCCTTTAAATTGTTTGTCTCAGGTGTTCGGCCACAGCAAGGGGAAGCTGATTAAAACAGGAATACTTAGAAAAAATTATCCCAGTGGATCGAGAGATAACTTGAAGCAAATGTAACATTTATAAATGATTTCCATTTGAAATACACAAATATAATAATATTTTATTCAACATTCTCTGTGTTAGTTACCTTTCTCTCCTTTCTGAGACAAAATACCTAACATACAAAGTTAAAGGGGGGAAGGTATATTTGGCTCACAATTTGTGGAGGTTTCAGGCCATAATTGGCTGGCTCCAAGGCAGAGTGGCACATGGCAGAGAACAGCTCATGGTACTCACAAAGCAGCAAAAGCAACCAGGGAGAGGCAAGACTCTTTCTGTCCCTTATATTGTATCCAGGCTACCTGACCTAGGGTGGTATAGCACTCACCCTTAATCCTAGCCAGAACTATGCCAAACCAACCAATGGAGTGACCAACCAGTCACATACCCTTAATGTCAGCAACATGCACTCCAGATCCAGCCACTCCCAAAAAAACCCTATGACTGCATGAGGCTTTGGGGGGGACATCCAGACACAAACCATAATGTTCTCCAACACTCTCTGAAAACTGTCTGGTTAAGTCTTCCTTTCTTAATCTTTTAATCCATTGTGATCAGCCATTATTACTTTTCCAATAATTTCAAGCATACAAAATCTAGTGAGGCTTCTTCTATTTTATGTTAGTCAGTTTTCTGTTACTATAAGAAAACACCAGAGTAATCAATTTAAAAAGAAGAAGGTTTGTTTTGGAGGTTCTAGTTCATCACTGGGTAGACTCATTGCTTTTAGTCCTCAGCAGGGTGGGGATAGCAGAACATCATGGGGAAAGGGCGTGGCATACCAAAAACATTCACGTCAGGGTGAGGCAGTAAAAAAGAGAAAAGAGAATGATCTGGAGTCTCATACTGCCTGTTCCCAATAACTTACAGTCTCCCAATAGGGCTTTCTCTTTAAAGGTTCTACCAACTCCTAATAACACCAACCTGGAGGTCAAACCTCTAACACATGGGCCTTTGGGAAAGACACATCCAAACCATAAAATATCTCATATTCAGCTTAACTCTCACTTTCTTTCCTTCCACCTGAAGTTTGAGCACTCACATGAGGTAAAGATTTTTCTCTTTTCTCGCCTCACTCTTTCTTTATACTCTCTTTTTTCTGAGACTCTTTCTCCTCTGGTGCATTATAGTGAGAAGGAAAGATGAGAAATAGGGTGAGCAGCACCTAGGTGGTGCAAGGCTGGTTTTATAGGTGGTATTACAGCTGAGTCATTCTGTGTGACAGAGGCCCAAATGTAGTATTCCCAACGAATGTATGTGTGAAGTCTTTTGGGGCCCTTTAGGGATGTTCTGTGCAGATAAACAAGTCTTGTCTTGGCAATGTCTATTCCGATTCCAACCTGGTTATTTTCTCTACTGGTCTATTCCAAGGAGTATCCTGTAGTGTGTTTTTCTAGTTTATTCTTGCTGCTGTGATTCTCTTGCTTGGCAACATGTTCCTTAGGGTAAACACTGAGGTGACTCATCCTAGTTTTCCCATAGGCACTTGACACTGTGAGAGACCAGAAGGTGCCTTCCACCACAAACTATTTAGCCTTCCATCACAGACTCTTCAGCCTCCTGGTATGGACTCACATGGGCCACTACACTGAGCTCCAGGCCTTCAACTGGATGCTTTGGATCTCCAGTGTGCAGACAGACCTCTTGCACTCTTCCAGACCTGACTCTGTGGGTGGTCATTGTAAGCCAACCTTGTAAATTTTTATATATTTGTATATCTTGCATTAAATCTGCTTCTCTGGTAAGCACTGACTGATACAAGGAGTTATATCACAATTATGACCTTAGGAAGAGTGAAGAGAAATTATATATCTTTCCCCCAAACTCAAGGAAACTTATGCATCATTTCATTTAAATATCTGGAGGATGGGTTATCTCACCACCTGTAAGCACTATCTTGCCCAGATCTCTTTATCTCAGTGGCACTTAGACCTAAGGCACAATCTCAATTTGACTAAGGGAAGAATATCAATCCCATGGCAGAATCTTAGTTAGACACCAGCAGCATTTTACATGATAAGAAGTCAACAGTTATTAAAGATGCAATTATGTGGTTAAACATTATGACTTTAATCTATTAGTGCTCTTTTTCCTCCCTTAATTCTATATTTTAAACCTTAGGGTAGTTCATCTTAACTAGAGGGGAGTTTATCTCACCTTCCCCGGGAAAATTTGGCTATGTCTGGAGACAAAATGTCTGGAGATATTTTTATTGTCACATGGAGGGAAGAGAGGTTTCTACTGGTGTCCACTGAATAGACGCTAGAGATGCAGCTAAAAATCCTACAATAAGATTAATATCTTTGCCAATTAAACTTAATCATGGCAACTTGATTGGCTTTGCGGTCCCCTTGGGGGCTTGGTGGAGCCCTCTTGTGATTGTATCTGAGTGAATGGTAGAGGTGTGGGCTAGAGGTCTATGTCCGGGTCCTTGCCACTGACTCCCTGATGCTATTCCCTTCCTCTGCTTCCCCAGGAAATGAGTTAAGCAGCTTTTCTTCACCAAACCCTTCCACTGTAATGTTTGTGCCTTGGAACCCAGCAATTATGTACTGAATCTCCTTCAAATAGGAGCCAAATTAAATTTCCCTTCCTTTAAATGGTAGGTGTTGTGGTGTTGTGTCCAGCAACAGAAGAGCTGACTAATACAATGGTCCACCAAAGCGATTTGAAAAATATCTTAAGCTGAAAAGATGGGAACAATCAGCAGCTGCAGAAACACTACTTAAGTAAAACTTTAAGAAACATTTAAATTTAAGCAGAGCCTCCTAAAAATATATCTTCCACTGACCCTTCTCCAAGAGAGTTTCTTGTTTTTGAGAAGACTTAGCCTTGTATCAAAAAGCCTGACAAGTGTCCTAGGAAGCCCAACTTCACCCTGACATTTGTTAGGTTGCTGTGTATATTAACTGAACCTCTGGCTATGTAGCAAGTTTCTCGTTACCAAGTGCTCATGAGTATATGAATACACTTAAAAATTTCTCCTGTTCAGGGCTGGGGATATAGGTCAGTGGCACAAGTGCCTTCTTGGAAAGCACAAGGTCCTGAGTTCTATTCCCAGTACCTAAACAAACAAAAAATTTCTCCTCTTCATCTAAAATTGTCACTTGATTTTCATGCTCCCTACTATTCTACAGTTTGAACCTAAGTGCGTAGAGGAAAAGATTTTCCTACCAATACTGATAATATACACAGAACAGAATCTCCTCCCCACCTTTCCAACACAGATGCACATTTTAAATATTAAAATATATCAACAAGAATAAAACCAACCTAGTCAAGAACGAAGAAAACTGTATTTATTTGGGGTTAATTAGGATTGCACTCTGGGAAAATTCAGATTTGAGTAGTCTTAAAAATGTGCTCAGGGGTTTTACAAAATGGCGGCTGTATTTATGGCGTTTGAACTGCAAGTTGGGGGGTGAGGTGGTTGGTCATTCTATCACTTACTAGCCAGGAATTAAGATTGGTGCTGGCAAAACCTAAGCTGTTTTATAAGAAAGGGATTGGGTGCCAGCTTAGTCTCTGGGCAGTGTGGGGGAAGGGGTTTGTTGTACAGAAGATCAGCGAAAGTCAACAATACAGTGCTTCTGGAAACTGATTTGGCCCACTCCAGGGCTACACTGCATGGCATGTGTGCAGTCCAGTTCAAAGATTCAGCAGCAAACGTATAGGAGACTGGATTCAGCAATGACTTCTGACTCCATCTTTCTCCCTTTCTTCCTTTCTCCTTTCTCTCTTTCTTTCTTCTTTTCTTTTGTGTGTGTACGTACAGAAATGTTTGAATAATGTTCAGAGGATATTAATGATGGATATTTATAGGTGGTCAAATTTGGAGTTATGTCCCCCACTCATTGCTTCTTCTCCCTGATCTTTTAAAGTTTATTTTTTAGTGACGAAGGTAATGTTTATAAAAGTAATACATTTATTCTTTCCTATAAGAAAGGCAACAAAACCTTTTTAGTGGATCCTGCACGGCTCAGGAGAAAATTCCAACTTCTCTGTTTTCTTGTCCATACAAAACTAGAAATGGTACAAGTCCCAGTAACTAAACCCCAAAATATGTGTGCCTGTTTGGTTGAAGACTATTTTGGGAGCTGCTAGTAGTGACCTTTCGGTGCTGGAAGGAGCAGGTCAGTCTTATTTTAACCTTTTTCTTGTTCTCCTTGGTCTTCCAGAGTGAAAACACACACCAAGATAATACCTCTGAATATCCCTTCTCTACTCTGGTCACACGCCATTCAGGTGAGGTCTGTTTGTGTCTTGGGAATTGTCTCATTTTCTGCTTCATTTTGCCAGTACTGATCTGTCATTTGCACACGCCATGGAGAGATGTGGCGGATGGGAGGGAGGGATGAGGCCTTTCTCCCACACTTGCTGACTCTTCACAGAGGAACAAAGCTCTTTCATCGCTACATCTCTTATTTGCACAAAAATTGCAGAAATTATATAATGTCCAAATTTTTCCTTGAATAATATTCACTGAGCACATGAAACAATGGCTCCTTTTCACTTTTAAACACACACACACACATGCGCGCGCGCGCACACACACACACACACACACACACACACACAGAGTCAACCTCCTTTCTTTATGGGCACCAAAGCAAAGCATATGTGCCCTATTTGGAGAATGCAAATGCCTCCAGCAGCAACATTTCTTTCACCAGCTCTCAGCAAGTGGCCATTTAGGCTTAATTGCTCCTCACAGCGTAGTCCAATTAAGAACGGGCATCAGCAGGGTAAGGGCTATTTGTTAATCCATAAAAGATATGAGAGACAGCACTTGTTTTGCCTGCGGTTTTTATTCACATGTTTGGGTGAAAATGTGAACAGCTGGAACTCTTGGCAAGTGATATGTGTGTGTTTTTAACCTGTTGGTTATGGGCAAGACAAGTGTATGGATGTATTTTCCAAAACACAAAACCAAACTTTTTGTTCCATTTGAAAGGAGAACTTAGATATTTCTGAAACCACTCAAGCATGTTTGAAACTGTAGTTGGAAGCCAGAGTTAGCTGAGAGGAGAAAATCTCTGGAACTCTGAGCCCAGGGAGAGCAATTTCCTTATCAAAGTGCCAGATTCTATCAGAGCATGTCATTGTGGGATGCTGCTGTTGTTTTAGCCTTCTCCTTAGACAGAGTTTTGATTTTTCGAGAATTTGCTTTCTGTGAGCTATTTTGACTCGGTTCAGGGAGAATTGTGATTCTATATCAGAGATAGGATCAGCTGATAAGAAGTGGGAGTGTGGGTGTGTAGCTGTGGCTGTTGTGATTCAGTAAAATAGGCAAACATAGGAAGAAAAATATATATTCTATAGCTGTAAAGTGTTTTCAGCTAGCTCGAAGGTTCCCACACTTTCTTCTGCATGAAAAGAACCTGACGTGTGTCAGCCGTGCTCTGTGCTGCTTGCTGCTTTCTTACCAGTCTAGAGGCTCTGCTCGTTAGAGAGGGGCGGGTCAAACAAGATGCAGTTCAGGCTACTCAGAGTTCCAGTGTGATACTATTGTCTAGAAAAGTCAGACTCGAGTTATCAGAGGAAGTTTGGGAAGGTAGGAATTTGACTCTCTTGGCAAGGGAGAATTTTACTCTTGGCCGTGGGCACCTTTGTTTTCCCAGAGTACAGGGAGATTGATTGCTAGATGTCTTCCATAATTTACATATTTGTTGGGCAAAGGGAACTGTCGACCCATTTCCTTGTTCTTCCTTCCCCAGTGTCTCCCTTTCCTAGTCCACGAATTCCTGGAGGACTCTTCTCCATCCGTAACATAACTCCTGGTTTCCTTAACCTTCTCTGTACGGCACAGAGCAGGGTGGGTAAGTCTGCAGTTATTCATGCATCTGGGCTGCTCCCTAGTCAGTCAGTGTGGCTTAGCTTGGGTTAGAGATTTTCTTGTTCTTTGGTTAAATGGAAGCCTCTCCCTGGCATCTCCTACTTTGTTCTGTTTTTATTCTATTGCCTGTTATTAACCAACATGATTTGATGAGTGAAACCTTTGCTGATTTCAGGACTGCACCCACTGTCAAATTAACAGTCCTATTCCAGAAAATGTGTGCACCCACTTACCTCTAGGTTTGTATCCACGCTAGCTGCTGGCTTCGGGTGATGATATTTACCCAGCTCATTGAAATGTCACACTTAGGACTGAGCCCTATAAATTATTATTGTGCTCCTGTTATATTGTAAAGATAAAGGTCAGATCAGAGCTCCAATTTATTCACTCCCAATGATGCATTTCTGAGAATTTGTAGAAAAATAAACTATTGGATTTTTCAGTTAAAATTATATATAAGCAAGAATGAGCTTTTTTTTTTTTTTTTTTTTTCAAACAAAGGAAAAGAAATAACCACAGAACCAGCAGTTCTTGGCATGCCAGGCTTCCTAGTTACTTTGGGAGGCTGAAGCAGAACGGTTGCAAGTTTAAGGCCAGTCTGAACAAGGCAGCAAGATTTTATCTCAAAACCAAACTAAAAAGGATAAAAAGGGCTGGCAATGTAACTCAGAGTGTTTGCCTAATGCATGTAAGGCCCTGGCTGAATCTCTAGTGAGAGAGACAGAGAGAGAGAGAGAGAGAGAGACAGAGACAGAGACAGAATGAGAAAGGCTCATCTGAGTAAGAAACATTACCTCCAACCTCCGACATTGTCCCTATTTTCTGGCATTCCTTTAATAATGATTAGACAAACATCAAAGAAGAATTCAGGAAGACTAAAAGAATGACTAGGAGTTGATCACTGCATGGTGACTGTGTAGGTAACTCTCTCCTCTGGGACCACTTTGGTTCCCCATGGAAAGTTATTTTGGTGGCTGGAAATTCCACCTCTCAAGCTGAGCACCTTTCTTTTTTTCTTTTTTTTTTTTTTTGGTTTTTCTCCGGTACAGGGAGCCGAACTCACGACCTTGCACTTGCCAGGCAGGCGCTTTTGCTGCTGAGCTAAATCCCCAGCCCCTGAGCGCCTTTGTTAACAGGTAGACACAAAACACTTGGCTCTTCACCTTGAACTACAAACCCTAGAGCTTGATAACCCTCGCACTGGCAGCCAGGGAGGCAGCTCAGTGAGGAGGCAGTAACGGTGCTATTCTGTCTTCCAGGACAGGTTGAGGGCCCCTCCACTCATTTCAGAGCACCCTCCCACCTGGACTCTTGACTGCAGCAGTTCCTTGAACAAGCTATGGGCTGAGTATTGTTAGCTATCAGGGCAACAGCTCTCACTCACACTTAATAAAAAGTCCCAGACCATCTATAGCAAATGATTTTTTCCTCCATAAAATTTGGCTTTGGAGCTTTGAAAGAATCTACGAGGCTCACCTCCATTTCTCTCGCTCATTTATCACCCCTTCAAGGATTATCTCCACTTGGAGAGTGATGTTTGAAGGGTTTAGTCTTCTGAACTATTTGGACAAGAACTGCTGGGTAATCTTTTGCTTGCCTCTCTCACTCTGTGATTCATCTTTCTTCCTCAGTTTTAAAATTTCTCAATTGAATCTCATTGCCCTTCTTTTAACATATTCCCTTTTCTTTTCTGTCTCTATTTAGTTTTTTAGTCTTTATTAATTAATCCACAGTAATTCTCACTAAAAACTCAAAGTCATATGACGTGGCTGGTACTGCACTGGACATGGTAAGGAAAGGATGATTTTTATATTATTTAAGTCATTGGCTAATCTTTGTTACTTCAGTAGGAAGAAGAAAAAATGTGATTGGGTTTTTAAAACCCTAAAACAGTGCACCAGTTGGGGATTAATAAATACATATTTATTCCATGTTATTATGCTTGTAGTAGAATGTTACCATATTGACTTTCAGATATTTTAATATTTCTTGCTTCTTCTGAATATTTACAGAAAAAATTGGAGAAAAATATCTATCTTTAAGTGCCACCATTGTGTTTCCTTTGGTTCCACCATTCAAACATCATGAGTATGTTTGAAAATGGTCATTGCCGCTGCTAACAGGTTTCTCTGAATGGGACACACTTTATCTTGAAGAGAAACAGAATCAGCTAGTAGGAAGAAGAGATAGCTTGCCACCGGCAGCAATAAGGAGGCAGGTGCTGGACTTGACTTTCCTCTTTCTCTCAGCTTAGGTACTTTCTTCTTCATTTTTCTGTGTACTTTCTATTTTCCTCTAGGTTGAGTGCTTTTGACCCATTTTTGAGTTTACCATCTTTCTCAAGAGACATAAGCAGCTGTACTGCTATGTTTGGCTTCAAACCAGAAGCTGGAAAATAAGCACTGCTAAATCTAAGTCATTTCCAAATCATCTTTCATTCCTTCCTTCACCCAGCTTGTCCTGCAGAATTACCTTTGCATAAGACACTCTTGTAGGCAAATGGGTTATATGAGTGAACCAAATAAACCAAGATCCTTGGTCTTGTGATTCTTGGATTCTATTGGCAAGACAAATAATAAATAATAAGTCAGACAAATGACTTAATTCTCAAGGTTATTAGAAGATGAGTGCTATAGAAAGCAATAAAAGATTTGCAAAGTAAGGGGATCACATGTATGGGACTGGTTGCAGTTTTCAAATAAATATCACAAAGTTGGCTTCATTGAGGAAGTGGTGTTGTGATTAAGTTTAGTTGTGTCAATTTGAGGGTTAGTAAAGCACATTCCTGGATGGGTCTGGAGGTTCAGCCTTGGATACTCTATCTGGTTCCTTGGTTCTTTCCCTCTGGCATTGTTTCCCTGCTCTGCTTCCTGGCTGCTGTGACCGAAGCATCTTTGCTGTACCTTGCCCTTGTGCCATGATGTGTCTTGTCTGTCTTTGAGCCAGTGGATGATGACAGACTGAATGTCTTGGAATTGTGAGTGTAGTGGATTGATAACTGGTGGTCAACTTGTAACCCTCAGCTGAACTGAGTACGTGTGGTGCTGGGTGTGGGAGGCCCACCTGGGGACTATTGCCAGCAGCATAAGAGGCAGACCTGGAGAAGAAGAAGCAGGCTGTTGGGAGCTGAGAGAGGCTGTGGGGAACTGAGAGAGGCTGTGCGGAGCTGGCTTTCCTGATGAACTTGGCTGTTTTCATCCTCTGAGGAGCTCAGGACCTCGTTAGCACTGAGAATGGCTTCAGTTCACTTTGGAGAGCTCTGGTCCTCACTTTGAGCATTCCTTCCTGGTTCCGGAGGGGAAGATGGTGCACTGCCGGCCTCCAGGAAAAGCTTGCTGCACTGGTTTCCCTGATGGGAACTCAGCCATCCTGATCATCGGAGGAGCTCGGGACCTCACAGTTGCTGAGG